AAATCTAAAGAATTATAACCTTTAAGCTTAATATGCCTAAAGTTAAAAGAAGCAGAAAACCACCCCCTGAAGGTTGGGAATTGATTGAACCTACACTTGATGAACTGGATCAAAAAATGCGTGAAGGTAAGTAACACTAACTAACAACATGATATTGATACAATAGTATCGATTTTTATATATCCAAGTTAAAATTAAATTTGTTTGTCGGTTAACACTTAAATAAATCTGAATTATAAATAAAAAATCCACGGCATAGTGTTAGTAATTAGTATCCATAGTATAATCTAGCTAGGCCTTAAGTTAACGAATCACCTGAAATTTATCATTCGAAGATTCTGTGTCAGTCCGTGCGATCTGTTGTTATGCTTTCTCTAATTAATTTTCTATATATTATGATATATACCAGCGATGTTCAACAGTTTTTTCATAATCGCCAAAATTGTGGAGAATGTGTTAACATTTTCGCCACATGACAAAAAAAACAACAATTAACTGTTTTTATAGATATAGAGGGGTACAAAAATGCACAATAATGTTTTCAATTATTTATTGATAGAATATTGCAGTAAGGTTAGACCAGTATTTTATCTTCAAAACAAATAAAAAAAGCGGACACTTTTAAACTGGTACATGTATAAATAAATTTGATTAAAAAGTATATTTAAAAAAATAGATCGTAGAAGAAAAATACCAATTTGCCACAGGTCAATAGCCGTTTCGCCACTTGTGGTGAGTGGTGACCATGTTGGACACCACTGATATACACATAAATATACTACACTCTTAAACTTGAAAAGAAAAGTTTTCATATCATTCTCCATCACTTACTAGGTTGCAGTGGCATTTCAAAATCAAAGCTTAATACTTCTCTAAGTGTAACTTATAATGTAAAGTGTTTGATTTGGCTGGGTACTGAACATTTGGCTGCCAAATAGCTGATGTATTTACTTAAAACATTTCATTTGTTCAGCAGGATACTATAAACTGTGGGAATTGTAAGTAGGGGGTTTCATTGATTTTTAAATAGTGAAAATAACAAAAAGGTTACACACTATCAGATTTCACAGTCAAAAATCAGTAGATTTACACTACAATTTGAATTATGTATTTAATAATTAATAAAAACAATTAATAATGGTACTTGTAAATTGACCAGTTGCACCACATGAATGACTAATTGAAATAATGCAAACAAAATTGCTTTACCTGGTAACCTGAGACATGTAATGTAACCCTAATAAAATAATTAAATTTAAAACCCATATACGTGAATTTATATTATATTCATAAATGAAATGAAAATTGTAAACAACCAAATACTAAAAATCAAGTATGAACATACATATTTACCTATTAAAGTAAAGGCAAGATTTTGTATTCAATTGGTTTCATGGCTGACAGATACGTACCTGTTATGAAGTGAAGCAAACTGTTGTCAAGGCAATTTATCTGCTTACAGTTCCAGTACAATATTTTTTTGAAATGTTATCTGTTGGAATTGGGCAGACATATATCAGTTTATGAATTATGTAATACAGACCACATGGTTTATTGTATGGCTTTGTTTTTCAAATTCAATGACTAATAAGTATTTATTAATGGTTTTAAAGTTTGATTAATGTTTGAAAATGCTTCTGGATACAAAAATAAAAACACCCAGGCCAGTGAAAAGCATGAAGAGAGCTATCATTTGATTTATCACTGATTCCTATTGGTCAAGCACCCACTTGCTGATGCCCTGTTTCTGTGCTAACGTTTGTCCATTCCTCACTGCAAAATAGTGGAGGAATATTCAGCGATCTTGACGGTCTTATTATAGCCGATTTACAGCTAGTGAGATTATGATTGCCCAGAAATAAACAGTACACATTCAGCATGTATTAATACTGTAGACTTTTTTCATTTGATGTTTGGCTTATAATAATTTAGTATTTTGTTTATGGGAGATTTATATATTTGCAATTCGACTTTGCATTCAGATACTTCTGAAGCCAAGAACTTTAATTCTCTGGGACTCCCTAATGTGAGTCTGTAGAAAAGTAAACAAATTGCACATTGATTAGAATGTAATAACACTACTTTATAGCTGATAATATATATAATAATTATAGCTGAATTCTCATATTGGAGTTGAACCTGTCTAGTGTTTACATTTGCCAATAATTTCTCTACATAGTTGAAAGAATTTTTATTAGAAGTGTTGTATTGTCTGGACATGTAGAGTGGTTCTCTAAATCTCAGCCTGTAGAATATGTTGCTGCATATGTGGGTCTCACTACTTAGCATCAAGCACTGTCAATAATAAAGCTAAAAGCCCATTGGTCCAACAGCTGTTATTTTACTGGGGCTCTGCTGTTGCATGGAACTCTGTATAACTTGGGTCTCTCTTGGACTCCAAAATTCTTATTTAAATTTATACTTTCAGAATGTATTTCCAATTACACTTTATATGAAAATATGAATTTAAATAAGTATGATGTATAGTATTCACAAAACTGTGTTCTTTATTAACTGGTGGATTATCAGTTATGCTTTCATTATTATTTAATATTAAATTTTCATAATGAAGGCCATCTTGCTGCTTTACAACTGCCCCACACATCTATCCCTAGTTAACCTGGTAACACAAGATAAAAACAACAAATATGATTATCTGCCAAAAAACACAACTTTGAAAATTCAATCCCTTGACCAAGGCTTCCTATCAACCTTCAAGTATAATTAGAGAAGAGAACTGATCAAGAGACTGGTGAACGGTAAGGACAACTTGCCTGAAGAAACTTGAGTTTTAAATAGACTCAATTAGACCCGAGTAAGATGATTGCTTGAAAAAAAGTGTGATATTCACTTACCATATAAAATTATAACACTTCACTTAAAGGTTATGTTGAATCTCAAACTGATTTTTATGTGATGTTTAAGTTCTCTGTGGTAAACAAACTACAATATACTCTCTCATCATATAATATGTTAAGTTGCTTTTTTAGGCTCTTAAGAAAACGTTTTGAAAAAAATGTAATATGGTTACAGAATGGCAGAGAAATATGAAATTTTGCAGGATGACTACAAAGGGCTATGTTTATATTTTATTTATTTTTTAAAAGTTTGCATATACATATTGATAAAATTCCCATTTTTTATTTAACTCACATTAAAAAATATTTATTTACCTTCTAAGAAATTTTAAAATTCACCAAAATACAAATGAATTTTAATCTGCACTGAATTATCTTTTATATCTTGTTTAAATAAAAGATTTCCATCTGTATACAATCTTTTTGATTCTGATGTGATCCAAATAGCATACATTTTACATGGCTTTGTTTACTAGCCTGCTGATAGATGGTGTACAATACTTACAGCTGGACATCACCTGTTATCCAGCTTTTTATAATCCTGTTTGGAATATCAATAATAGAAGGAGCAAAGTGTGATCATTCAATTTATATTTTTCATATCCTAGTATTTGACTGTTTGTTTTGTGCAGCATAATCATTATGAATGTACTGTACTGCTTTTAAAAATTAAAATTGAGAATAATTATAGCTTAACATTTGACTTTCTATATTTGATAAGAATTTGTAAAATATTTTTATCTGTGCTTGGGTCATGTATTTTTGTAAAAGTGCAGATTAGTGTCTAAGTAATTTTTTTCCCCTAAATCACAAAAATCATTTTATTTATCAGTAATGACAAGCAAAACGGGTTGTAATAATTCTGTGATATTGTTTATGGAACACTGAAATTTTTTTAAAAGTTTTAGAATTGAACCCTGAAAGTGTCTTCTTAAAGTGGTGTTCAGAAAAAACCTGGAGTAGTAATATTCAGTACAGCTATATATCTGAAACCCTTGGGGTATTATAAGGTATAGCTTCCTAGCAGTGTTAAGTGATACCTCATTTAGGAGCCTTGATACCTTACCATGCACAATATCATATTTTATGCTTTCATGATACTTTGAACCATATGTTAATTACATGTTAAATGGCTGCCAATTGCAAGTGCAAATTTATCTTTTATTTTTCTGTTTAAAATAAGTTTCAGTGTATTTAAAGGTCAATGCTACTGACTACAAATAAAACTGGTAAGAAAGGGTAGCACTTACAGTGTAGAAGACATTATTTTCTTAATTTCTTATGTATTAAAAGAGGACTATTGTTTTGGTCTGCTTTCTCAAAATATCACCTTTCTCTATGGAATTTCAATGTAATAAACTGGGACTCAGTTAATTAAACTAAAAGAATTAAAGAAACTAGAGTAAAAGAAAAAGTAACTGGCACTGTACTTGCAGTCACTTAACTCTGGCAAAGAGATCGTGTTGGCAGTCAGAAAGATGTTTAAATAAATTGTTGTTGTTTTCTCACTTGTTTTTCACTTCTTTATAATACTTGACAGCCTGATTATCATTATCATCTGGCTGTAATCCTAATTAGTTCCACACCAAGCTTTTGGATTTGACTTGGACACCAACCTTCTTTCTCTTGCATTTGCCATTTTTAATTATTTTTTTTACAGTAATTAAAATTTTCCAGAGTGTACAGGGTGGTTAGTTACTTCTGCTAAGTGAAAATGAATGGGTGTAGTTCATGTTTTTAACTACATAATTAAAGGTTTGAATCAATCTAGTTTCAGCAATGTCCTTAATGTATGTAAAATGCATATTATGTGGTTTATTGGAAGTGTTACATTACACTGTGTAATCAATGAATTGATTTTTATTTGTGAAGCAGTCTCCATAAGTGAGTAATTATTACTGATATGTTCCATTATTCCATGAATTCCATATAATTTTTGACTAATATATTGTTATTAACTTCTGTTCAAAGCAGTTTACTATTAGTGTTGTCAATATTCTTCATTGCTAAAAGTATTGATTAATTGGTGCTACTATAGCGTGCGGTCTACCGGGACTTTTACACTATAGTGTGCGGTCTACCGAGACTTTTACACTTAGTTAAATAGACAGGTCAAGTCAGGTAAAGTGGGGTCTTCTATGATCCCTCTGGGGTAGGGGTAATAGGGTCCTGTGAGTCTTGGTAGACTACGGATACTGCGGTAGACATTTTGGGGCAAGAATAAAGAACATAAAAACTACACAAGACTGATGAAAACACAGAATACATCTTGTTGACATAAAATAGGCTGAAACAATTACAGAAGCGTCGACTTGGATAAATTCTGAAAAACTAGGAAAATCCAAGAATCTTTCTACATCAACATGATAAAATCATTGCTAAATAAAGTTTCAGGCATGTAAAAGCCAGTGCAAACTGACCTGAAGACAAAAGGTAGAGAGAAGTCTCTCAAAATATTGTCCTTTTTACCTGAGCTTCTTTTGTGGATTTGTCCATCAAGACTCTCTCTACAAGTGTCATTCTAATTTAGGCAGTTGCTGCCAATTTTGCCTTTGTTTATCATGGGTATCTAAATCATCTGTAAAAAAATGTTAACATGTATTTTGTATTTCCTAGGGCATTTCATAACTTTATTCATGAGAACATTTGAATTAATTTGATTTCATACATATAAGATATTTGAGATTTTTCTATTAATTCATAAAAAATTAATATAGATGTAAGGTATTGATGACAAAATTGAAGCGTAAACCTAATTATTTGTAACTGTATATTATTTGTAGTATAATGTTTAATAAATCTTACTTGTTTTTTGCTTTTAAGAGTGTTTAAAAGGTGAAGGAAATTATTGTTTGAAGCATTATGGGAAATTTATTGGGGTCATCATTTGTATTTCTGTGCATCTTATTTTGGGGACTATTACAGAGGTGAGTTTTAAAATGTGGAACATTAAGAAAGTAATTTATTTTCCTTCTTGTAATAACAAAATTTTACTTATTATTTATGTAAATTATATTTCTTGTTTAGCTGAAACCGAACCCCATGAAGGAAAGAGGAAAGTAGAAGCTTTGTGGCCTATTTTTAAAATTCATCACCAGAGGTCCAGATATCTCTTTGATCTATTTTACAAACGTAAAGCAATCACGAGGGGTAAAGTATATTTTTTTTTATTGTATATTTATAGTATATGTATTTTATGACTTTTAAATCATAAATATGGTCTTATTTAATAGTATAACTACTTGTCCAAAGTAGAGCTGAGCAATTAATCAAAATTATGATTAAATGGATTATTGTCATGAAGATAATCAACTAATCAAGATCAGTGTTTCCAATTGTTACTAAATTCCCTAAGTAAGAGACTTGTTATAGGTTCAGTAAAAAAATGCTGAAAATACCAACAGTTGTATTATTAAATAAAAGGAAGTAATTTGTTGGTTGAAAATTTTTATTCTTAATTGAAAATTCTTGTATATTGAACTGTCATAGGTTCAATCTGAAAATTCGTACTTATATCGAAGAAAAATAAATTATTCATAAGTGTTTAGTGTATTGATTGTTTTGCTGACTTCTTCAAGTTATAATGCAAATATAGACTCAGTTGGACTGAAACAAAAGTTGTTCTCCATTCATGGGATGCATAAAAATGGTAAATGGCCAAATTAATAGCCTTAACCTTTTTCGGACCAGGAGGGTGTCACTGATATGTTATTTTTGAGTTGTGAAATGTCCAAAATTTTGTTGTCAGACATTTGTGTTGGAAAGATATGGAAAATATTTATTTTCATTTTAGAATTAAATTTTTTAAAATTTTGATCGAATAATTTCATAATAACATTCTCAACTCACTAAGAAGTCACTGCAGAACACAATAAAAAATTTGATGATTCTTTGGATGGAAGAGCCCAGTATTGAATATTTCAACTATAGACGTTTGATTCAAATTTTTTCTATTGCAGGCAGGTGCATTCTGGCTTTAAATATGCATAATAACTTCATTTTAAACACGCAGTCATAGCGTTTTTATTGGTTTTTAATTAAATATTATGAAAATAAAAATTCAAGATAATACAAATTCACTTCTTTTGTAATTTAGTCTGAGAATTTTGCATTACATCAGTCTCAAAACAAGTTCTATAACTAATACAATTGAAACCTTGTTGTGCAGTATTTACTTTTTATTCAAGTTGAAAAATAAATCTAACTATTGATAAATTGAAAAATATATTAATCAAAACTAGTTCTACAAATTAAACTAGATAGAATGAACTTGAGCATTGTACATGAGTGTAAACTGCAAAACACAAGGTTGGTATTTCTTAAAGTTTGTGAACAATATGTTTGACACCTCTTGGGTTGAACTGTAAAGAAATTAGTGAAAATCATACATGTATCAACTATTAATTGTTTTAATCTTGCAAATAAATTAATCACCAGCATAATTTATCACAGGACAAGTGACAATGCATAAATCCTGATTCCTACGAGGTTCAGGATGATCTAATTTTCAGACTTTGACAGCTATCAGATTTAAATCAAAAGTTTATGAAGTTACATATTGTATGTTCCTGACACAAAGTGTTTATCTCAGAAAAATGGCAAGATTTTATTCATTTTGTGCAAAACATGGTAGTTAAGTATTTGAACGCAACTTTTGAAAGATGCTATGCAAATTTTTTGGCACATGCATTTTGGAACACATGGACAAAACAGCTACCATGACCACTACCCCTCATTACCATAATGCTTCAAAAGAATATGAATAACAAATAATTTCAGCTAGAATGTGGTAAAATAAATAAATAATGGTTAAAGTCATCGATTTTCAAAAAATAGTCAATGTTTGAACCAATGGACTCTCGTTACACTAAAACACATTGTAACATTGTATAAGGGTATCCATGTTATTCTCCAGAGTCTACTAAAAAATCTTGACATGTGTCCTTTTAATGCTTGATAAAGAGCACATTCCCCAACCTCATTCGGAAATATTGGAATATACTGAAATATTATGGTATTTTCAAGTAAATAAACTGATTTT